AGTCTTCAAAAAAAAAAAAAAGTCTTCCCCGTGAGCAGCACCATGCCGCTTCCTAACTTAAAGTGTGTTTGGAATCACATTTGGAGCTTTAAACTGACTTCTCTACCAGTAAAAGGAGCTTTTTTGATTTAGAATGTGTTTGGAATTACATTTTTGCAATCTGACTTCTGTCACTGAAACGGATTTATACAATAAACTCAAAAAAGCTGCTTTTATCCAATATGACTTCTGTAAAAATCAGATTAAAAAAAAAGTTACTTCTCCACCGTTAATCCAAACACGCCATTACAAGGCTACGAGCACCAACTTCTGTGGCATAACACAGGGGCTGCCTCGTGTCGTCTTAACATGTCTCCACGCGTTGAACGCTCATACACATAAGATGAACCTCGCCGCAGAGGATCCCACGCTTCATAAAAAGGCAGGAATAGAAAGGAGGACCTGGTCATCATGGGCCTTCCCATCCCAGCCGTGACGTCGCTATTTAACGGCGACGTGGAAATATCCCTGGGGTGATGCTCACGACGTCACCATATCCGTCAAATGCTTAGCTGGACGCAACTGTTGCGGTTTCGGCTCGCCTGAATTGGCCAGCTGGATCGCCAATCTCTCCCTGCACATGGCCAGCTACTTCTGTTCACAACAGCATTCGTGAAATTCCCGTCTTGCCCCTACTTCCCCTATGCTATATCCTCCCTCCAATGTGACTGTTCATGTGACTCGTTTATCAGTACACAACTGCTTAGAAAGGCATAATCGTATACCAACCCGGCTAAATCACTATACCTTAAAAAAAAAAAGAAGAAGCTAATTTCTCATTACATAATAAATTAAATTTTAAATATTTATTGAGATGAATGTTTATATTTAATATTTGATTGATATCTCGAAATAGATTATTTCTAATAAGAAGACACGCATGTCAATTAAAAAAAGTACATTTAAATAATTTTCGTATTTTTTAGACCTGGCTAAAAAAACTTTTGACAAACTTTAATTTAGGGGGTGTTTGGATAGAAACCAAACCATGATTTTAGAAGTGTTTTTACGGTTTACAAAGTAAATACGTAGAGGAATTTGCTTCGTTTTGCCGAAAAGTGTTTCTGAAACCATGATTTGGAAGTTACTAAACACCTTTTTAGTTCAAGTTTAACGGATGCATGCTTCACAAATTGTAAATCAAACACACGTTGTATTCTAATTATTTCGTCATGCTTGCAATTGCATCATGATAGTTTAAAAATATTGTTTCATAAAAGTAAAAATAACATCTAAGACGAGTCTTTCTCGACGTGATAAAAATATGCGTATATCATTAAATTATCAAATCTATAGTTTATTAAGGGATATTTCATATTACATTTATAATATGCTAAATATATACAAAATAAAAATTTATGGATAAATAAACTTAAAAAGGCTACCCAGAGTTGAGTATTACTTTAGCAGGATTTGTTTCTTGTGAACTTAAATTTCAATGCTTGACGGGGACAAAAATGTTATAAACTAAGAATATAGTGTGAATAATAATTATTGAAAGTGTGATGCAGTTCCCATTTGTCCGGGGAGCAAGAAAAGCCCTTTACTTCCTCGGGGTCGTCGAAGTGAAGTGATCGAACAAGAACCTTATCCAAGAACCATGGTGCGTTTAACTCCTATGCTCATCAGTTTATTTATCACATTAAAAGCAGGTTTCCAGCATGATTAATGCAATTTGTTTTTTTGTAGTTCTGTACTAATTGTATCGATGAATAAAGACAATAATATAGTTACCAGGGCATTTATATTATTCTTATGAAAAATAAAAAAATAGTAAGCAGTTTTATCCTTATAAAAAAAATATAAATTTAAATATCAAGAAGCCCATTAAATGTCAATTTTATTCATTGCAGGTATCAATTGAAAATTTTGTTGAGTGGATTGCATTAATGTTGGTTAAATCGCATTGCTCATAAAAATATTAACATATTGATTTATCGCCTAATAAATTAAGTCAATCACATTAGATTTGACATTCTTGATATAATTTTATATAATTAAAATTAAAACTATTACATAAAAAACACCAAATTATTATCTCCGGTCTTAATTACAAGACATCATTTGTCGACAAAATGAGATCTTATAATTAGAATCAGAAGTAGTAATTATCAAATTGAAGTTGTTGTTTTAACTGCCATATTTATGAGATATAAATTGATAATCATTATTAAGATTTGAATTTTCACAAATATTTGTTGAATCACGCAGGTGCCATTATATTTTACAGGAAAAAAAATCCTATGTGTAATGCGTAAGGAAAAAAAATCTATCAAACTCATTGTATTTAATTCTAAATTAATTATCTCTTGATAGTATGAAGTTTAATACAACATCCAATTCTAATTACAAAACATTATTTGAAAATTATAAACGAATTTTTATAATTAGAATCGGAAGTAGTATATTAAAAATCCTGAAAATAGCTGAATTTTTTTAATAAGATTCTGAAAAATTAAATGTCAAAAAATTATTTAATTGTTAAGAAGTTTATTCCTTTCTTCGTTTTTACCCCCTCAGGCTAACTTGTATAGTCATCTAATCCGTTTCTAGTGACTTCGATTAAATTTTAAAAGGATCCAATGTGATGGGGCTGGAGGGACTCTGTGTAAAAGTCAAGGGCAAAAGGGTAAATAAGGTGTAGGTATGCCTAAATTCCGAAACGAAAACTCTACGTATATTAGCTTGAGGCTTGCGTAAGAAAGTGAAAATCTAGAAAGTACAGAAATCTAGGATTACACAGCGGTGAGGTGAGTGGGAGGAGGAAATAAATATGCCACGCTACTACAGACAAAACTCCATTATTTATTTTATTTTATTACAATACTTAAAATTAAAATTAAAATTAATCCAACAGCCACGTTGCAGCCGCTCAGATCGTATGTCCGACCGGGTCATAGCCGTGGTCCCCACTCAACGTCTGATTTATCCTTATCGTTGATTAGCGTTGTAATTGAACGGTTATGATGCCATCATTCAGTATTAATGATGGATTGGCAGGCAACAAATCCTCCCTCTGTGCTGCAAAGGTTGATTTTGATGTGGGTGGGACCCCACCTCCTGTTTGCCACGTGGTTTCTGCGACGCCGGGGTACCGAATTACCCCATGCCAGGACATTTTTGTAATTATAAATAAGTTGGTCCAATTTTTTCAAAAGCAAGTAATTAAAAAAAATGGATTCATAATTTTCTTTTTGTTTTGAGAACAATTGGTCGGAAAGGATTTACTTTTAAACGAAGTATGCTCTTGATTTAAAAAGGAAACTTATATAATAATTTTATTTAACCTGAAAAATGTGATCGCTTGTCTTTTGAACTTATGATGAGCTTTTATTCAATAATAATACTCTATATCAGAATATACAAAGTATTATTCGATTTTAATATTTTTATCGTAAAGTTATTAGTCAGTAATTGGCCTAAATTTTACCAAAATATAATGATGTTTTATTAATTAAAATAAAGGATAGAGAAGTAAGATTTGTGGGGGTGAAAATTATGAGTTTGGCTGATCAATTAAAATTAATTGAATTTATGACCCGAGGGAACAAAGGGAGGGGAGTGGAGTCAGTCCTCGTTTCCATTAATTTGTTTTGATTTGAACTCTTTTTTATTATTATTTTTATCTGCTGTTTTGATTTGAACTTTTACCCTTATCCAAAATATGAGTTGTGCGTCACCTTTTTTTTTTTTTTTGTAAAGCTATGCTTCAAATTTTGATGCATAACTATTCCTTTTTATTTAATATTTTTATTCAAAATAGTGTCATGTTAAACAAATGAAAAAATTTTAAAAATAATTTTGACATAATATGATCTTTTGTTCTAAATACTATCTAGAAAGTTTGTTTTGATCATAAATATAAGTATTTTTTTAAATTTATACATTTTTACTAAATTTTCTTTGTTAATTATGCATGTTAAAGAGTTTTTCATCAAAAAATAATATCCAATGCAAATGATTAGTTGGGATATTTTAAGAAAATCAACCAACATTAGCTATAAATAACAAATTTAGCTAAATTTTTTTAAATATTTATAAATTCATTATTTTTTTATATTTAGAACTGGACAAAATATATAGATTTTACTTTTTTCCCTCTTAAATTGTGAGTTTTTTAATTAAGACAAGTAAATAAATAAGATATTATTTGAAATTTTAACTCAATATATGGGGATTGAATTGTGGGGTTAATGCAGTAAAAGGTCTACAAGTCACCTATGACCTTCCATTGGCACGAGGAAACATGCAATCAACATGGATAGTTTTATTATTACTAGCAATAATATTGGCACAAAAAATGTTGTGAAGATAAAAAGAATTTTTTTTATTCACTTACCCAATACACTAAATTTAATTGAATTGGCTTTTATTTTTTATTTTTATTTTTTTGGCAATTTTACATTGAATTAGGACCATTGAATTTCAAGAGTTATGCATATGTTTTCAAGGTACATTGATGAGTTTTAACTGTGGACACTGTAGCATTCAACAAGTAATTGTAACAGTATCTTTTTTTTTCCCTGTTTTCTCAGAGCACTATTATCTAAGAGAAACTTATCTACAGTGCAAGAGCAATGAAGGAGAGGACAAGTGGCAAGTGAACAGTGAAGAGAGTGTTTTTCACATTATGTGAAAGAGAGTGGGTGATCCTATAGTAGTACTATTTTTTTTTTGGTACAAGTAGGATAATAACTATAATGACATAAATATATAATTGATTTCATTTTCTTATTTATAGCATTTTCCTATTTATTGAAAATTCTTATTTTTCTGGACTGACTTTATCACACTGATTATTTTAGTTATTAGCGGAAAATTAAAAAAAAAGAAGTAAAATACTCCCCCGAGAATAGAGATTGGAAGAAAACAATGACAAGTGAGAAAGAAATATAAAGAGAGCTAGAACGATGAATTGCAGAGAGAGAGAGAGAGAGAGAGAGAAGTGAAACCTGACTCGTGAAACAGCAGGAGAGAAGGGGAGAGGAAAAGAAAATAGAAAAGCTTACTCTTTTTCTCTTCTTTCGCCTTCCTCCCTTTCTCATCTCTCTGTAATTTCATCAGTTTATCTGTAGGCGTAACCTTCATTCTCTCTCTCTCGATAATAAAAAAAGGTAGTAAATTTGTCCTTCTCTCTCTAAGGATTTTCACACTCACATTCATTCCTTGCTTCCTCCTTTATATCACGAGATCCCCATCCTTCTCGTTTTTTCTTCTCTCCTTTTCTTCTTGATGTCTTCCTCAAAGCTTCTGGCTCTATGTTTCTCTGTCTTTGCATATGCTAGAAGGCCTCGCTGTGGTTTCATTTGAAGGCATTGCCCAGACATAACAAGACTAGGGGAATAGAAATAGGACAGAGAGCTCGAAGACGAAGACATTGTTGGGGAAAGAAGAGTTGAGCCCTGTGTTGTTTGGTTAGTGTGAAAATGTCGCATTCTGGGAAGCCCGATTCTGAGCTAGGGTTAGCCGCTCTCCGCGATCGATTTCGCGACTCCCTGAGCTGCGAGGCGAACAAGCCGGACTTTCGCGAGCTCGATCTAGGGTCGCCGGTTTCGCCATTGCGGACCCGTCAGAGTGGACCTGCTGCCAGTGGACTCACCACTACTACCAGTAGCAGTTCCAGTTCATCTGGATCGGTTTCTGGGCGAAATGGGTACAACCCGGCCTCGAAAAGATCCGATACTGGTGCGAACAACCACTCCGGTGAGCTTTCTGGTTCCAGCGAGAGCAGCCCTACTGCCGCTGAGAGCCTTCGATCTGGGGGGAATGCCAGAAACTTCAAACCGGGCCACGCAAGATCCGATGCCGGAACCACCCCACCTTTAATCTATTCGGGTCAAAGCTCTTCCGTCACATCACCGGCGTTGAATGTTCTTCCTACCGGCAATATCTGTCCGTCTGGGAAGATTCTGAAGACGGGCATGGCGTCTAATCGGACCTCCAGGACGGACGTTTTGGGCTCCGGTACGGCCAATTATGGTCACGGAAGCATAATGCGGGGCGGTGGAACACCTAAACACACTGTCGGAGAGGCGGCAAGTATGGCAAACGCCAGGGCAACTGGTGGTGTCGGTTTCAAAGAACCGTTCAAGAAAGCGGCGGCAGGTTTGGATCCAGAAGAGATAAAGAGAGCGGGGAACGAGCAGTACAAGCGGGGTAACTTCACAGAGGCATTGAATCTTTACGATCGGGCAATTGGACTGTCCCCAGGTAATGCCGCCTACCGGAGCAACCGTGCGGCTGCATTGACAGCATTGGGTCGGTTGACTGAGGCGGTGAGGGAATGCGAGGAGGCTGTGAGATTGGATTCTAATTATGGAAGAGCGCACCAGCGTCTCGCTTCTCTTTTTCTCCGGTGAGTGAGCGTGAACGAACTCAACCCTTTTTATCCCGGTTTTCTTTCCTATTGCATTGACTTCCTGATAATGTGGGCTTTATACACCGTTTGCAATGTTATTATTGTTGTCTTGTGACCTCAGGTCAGGTCTGTTGGTTTTTCTTTTTTCTGTCGTTCGTTCTTTTCTGTTTTCGGTCTATAAAGTTCTGCTAAGATAAATTCTTGTGTCAAAGATGTTTCTTTTTCCTTCGAAAGTCAAGAAGCGTTTGGCTCTAACATTTCGTTGATTGTTTTGTTTAAGGGATAATGACGATGGTGAGGGAATTGGTAATTTAGGTTCATGGTTGTTATTATTTACTTATGTACGTTTGAAAGCTCTCAGATTTAACTGCATTGCAAAGATTTCTAGGATCCTAGTTATTTCAGATTCTGGAATTCACTGTGCTATCCATTGTTTTTATCCCTTCACGAACTGTTTGGTATGTTATTGTCATTTTAAATCTGCTTTTGCTTGTAGAGGAGGTGCTTAAGGCGTGGACTCGTGTTATCGCAGGTTAGGACAGGCTGAGAATGCGAGGAAGCACCTATTTAGTCATGGGCTGCAGCCGGATCCTTCTGAGTTGCAGAAGCTGCAATCGGTGGAGAAGCATATCAACAAATGTACTGATTTTCGAAGGATTGGTGATTGGAAAAGTGTCCTCCGGGAAGTTGATGCCGCTGTTGCTGCTGGAGCAGACTCTTCTCCTCAAGTAAAAACTTCTTTTGGTTCATATATGCGTTTAATGTTGTTATTGCATGAGAAGTTTAAAATGGCTAAACTGGTTCGAAATTGAATTTACAGCTCTTTATGTGTAGAGCAGAAGCCCTTTTAAAGCAACACCAAATTGATGATGCCGAATTGATTCTGTCAGCTATTCCAAAAGCAGGATCACATTCTAAATCGTCATCTCAGGCAAGGTTTTTTGGGATGCTTTCTGAAGCTTATTCTTTCTTTGTTAGAGCTCAGATTGAGATGGCTTTGGGAAGGTGAGTTCAGAAACTGTAAGTTTCATCAGAAATCTAGGGTGGCATATGGCTTCCGTTGAAGAGTGAGAATGGATGATGGATGTATTGCAGGTTTGAGAATGCAGTTACAGCTGCTGAGAAAGCTGGCCTGATTGATCCCCGGAACGTTGAAGTTGCTGTTTTGCTCAGCAATGTTAGGATGGTAGCTAGAGCTCGAGCTCGTGGTAATGATCTTTTCAAATCTGAAAGGTTCACTGAAGCGTGCTCTGCATATGAGGAAGGTTTAAGGCTGGACCCTTCAAATGCTGTTCTCTATTGCAATAGAGCTGCCTGCTGGTTTAAGCTTGGGCAATGGGAAAGATCAATTGAAGACTGCAATCAAGCTTTACACATCCAACCAAATTACACAAAAGCACTTCTTCGAAGGGCAGCCTCAAACAGCAAGGTAAATTAATTTGGTTCCTTATTCTTTGGGGTGTAAGGTGACAATAGTTATATGTATCTCATGCTTATCACTTGTGGAGTACAGCTAGAAAGGTGGGAAGAAGCAGTCAAAGATTATGAGGTCTTACGAAGAGAACTTCCAGATGACAATGAAGTTGCTGAAGCACATTTCCATGCGCATGTTGCATTGAAGAAATCTCGTGGGGAAGAAGTTCACAATTTGAAATTTGGTGGTGAAGTGGAAGGAGTGTCTGGTCTTGATCAGTTTAGGGCTGCAATTTCTTTACCAGGTAACAAATTTTCCCAGGAAATTTCTCTTATCAGTGACTTTCTTGTGGTCGGTTAATTTATTTTGTGTACACACGGATTGACTGTAAACTTAACTCTGCAGGTGTGTCTGTTGTTCATTTTGAAATTGAATCTGATTCGCAATGCAAACAGTTATCACCATTCGTGAACACACTTTGCAGTCGATATCCTTCTGTTAACTTTCTCAAGGTATCTACTGATTGATCTTCTCATTTACTTCACCCTGCTTATTTAAGAGGTGAAAGATGAAGCATTGCTGTTTTCTCATGCATGTAATTTGTTTTTCTTTGGGTTTGACTAAAGGTTGATATTCAAAAAAGCCCAGCTATTGCAGCCGCTGAGAATGTTAGGTTGGTTCCAACTTTCAAGATCTACAAAAATGGCAGCCGTGTGAAGGAAATTGTTTGCCCCAGCCGTGATATGTTGGAACACTCTGTGAGGCACTACAGCACTTAGAACTCATTATTTGTACTGCTTCCATGCCTGCCTAAAGCATTTTGTTTGTGCTGCCAAATTCCCCTGTTGAACTTCATCTCCGCAGTTCTTCCAGTCTTTTGATCCCATCCCAGAAATGATCACCCGGAATCTGTGACATAGTCGGAGCCACATGATAATAATCTTTTTTAGTGGCCAATGCTGCCACCAGCACCCAGAGAGAGTTTAGGTTCCTTTTGCGGTTTTTATTCATTCATTCATTCCTCAATACTTTCTCTGGCTCCATGTTCCTCCCTTCTCCCTTTTGTCTATTTCCTTTTTCTTCCCTCTCCTCTTCAGTTATGTAGGTCAGCTGTTCTTGTATCCCTAGTTTCATTCTGATCCAGAAAGGAGGAAGATTTTTATTTGTATGTACACTTGATTCAATTGGGAGTTTAATTACCTTTAAGATAGACAGACAGACAGGCGGAGATAAGCCAGAAGGGGGAGATGGACGGTCTCATCTGTTGGTAGTGCAGGATGTCTACATGTATATATGTGAAGATATATACCGAACACTGGAAGCCCTTGAAGGAGATTGGATGAGTGGTGGGTACCTACTGGGTTAGAGATAGGAGGATGATATATATGTTGTTATCATTGTTATTTCCCTTTTTCTACTAGCCATTTAATCAATAAAATTCCCAAAAATTTTTCCCTGGCTATTGACTCCTAGGTGCAATTTTATAATATTTTGCCTTTTCTATTCTCTGGGCAACATACACACTGATGGCAAGTCTTGAGGATATATTATAATTTGAACTCTAGGAGGTAGACCTGTTTTGACAAAGCCTATGATAAGCAAACATGCGCATAGCAAAAATTTCACTGAAAAATACATCTCATATCCACTCACACTGGGAATTGGCATAGTGTCCCAATCCTCGATTTTCTTAGAAACTTTCTCATTATTCTGGGAATGAGCAGAGGTAGGAAAAGCTTTCTCTCTTTTTATTTGTGTTATGTAGGACAGCAGACGCAAGGGGACTTCGTTGTTGTCTGTCTTTACGCAATGTAAGTAGGTTTGGTTTTTGTTATTGAGAGTGGTGGTTCTGGTGGTTGATACAATTCATAAATCTTATCTTTTAGCAGTCTGTCCTTTATAGGGGAGGGATAGGTGGATGGACCACTACTTCACAGTAATTGGGACAACTTTCTTATATGTATTTTTTTTTTCAATTTTTTTAATTGGCTTAAGATGATACATGTATAGAATAATACGATTGAGTGTGAGAGGTGAGTCTCTTTGTGGAAAGGGGCTTGAGTTCACATGTGGGCATTTAAGATGTTGCCTTCTTTCTTTCTATTAGGGTCACCCTCCCCCACACCTAACCAAATGAATCCAAAAGGTATTGGTCCTTGTTTGATGTGCGGCTGCTTTGTTCAATACTGGACATGTTATTTTAAGGCACTCACTTTGGTCCTATGCATATACGTGTCTATAGAGTTGTAACACTGCACGGCAATGGTTTTCTACTGTTGAAGCTGACCCCCCCAAGTGGTAGGGCCTTCACTGCCCTTTTTTTCTTTGGTTGACTCATGATTAGGACATCGAAGGAAACTCTTTAGAAAATACCTTGCCTTTACAGGCAGGCCTTCAGATTTTTATTTGGAAAAACATTATTCAGGGAGCTTCTAAATTTTGATGCTGAGAATTCAAAACCCCAGAGAGGATGGGAAGGTGTGAGGGAAGAGAAAATCACTGTGTTTGCATTCAAGTGATTGGTATAAAGGTTTGTGGGTGATGTGAGGGTTGAAATTGCGCGTTGGATGAATTGAGAAGAGATAAAATGTGAAATAGACTTCTGTGTCGGTACACCCGACCGTCAAAACAACCGGCATTCACGTTGGAGGTGGGCCCACGCTTGTGCTGTAAAGCAGCCTACAACCAAAACCCCAAAAAAAAAAAAAAAAGGGCATTGATTCATGCCACTTCAGAAAGAGCGTCCGAAGTTGTAGCGTTTCAGAAATTCTCCAGAAAAATTATGTGAATGAATCCATGTTAATTTGGCAAAGAATTTATACTAAATTAAATAATTCCCTTTTTATAAATAAATATCCCGAGTACCCTCATATATCTCTTCTCTGAGACCCCTTTAATTTTTAATTTTATGAGTATATTTGCTCCAAACAAAGACAGTATTACCATATATGTGTAAATTAAATTATTAAATTTGTTATAAAAATGTTGGAAGTGAAATGGTAGAATAAAGGGGGATGACTTGGTCAAAAAAAAAAAAAGAATAAAGGGGGATGAAAAAGGTCAAATCAGGGGGCAATAAAGCGAGAATCCCGAGGGAAAGGAAAAGGAAGGCAGGAAGATGATGGATTGGAAGGATACAGTACCGACAGTACGGCTAGGTGATGGACGGACGAAAGCGTCAGAGTTACAAGAGTAGGCCTCAAACACCAAATGTAGCCGTTGTGGCTCACATTCACATTTATGATTTAACGGCTCCCAAACATTTACATTCTTCTCGTGTTTCATTGGGTCCTGTAATATATATATATATATGTGTATATATGTATATATATATATTTTTTCCTATTGAAAAATTTTATTTAAAAAAATAAGCTAAATAGGTTGATGAATGAGTTGGCCCAAAAAAAAGGGTTGATGAATGATGATGACTCAGGCACATACTTTTAAGATTTTTGTTATGTATTGTTTATATTTTTATTCAAAATTCAAAATAAGCTTAATAAAATTTTATTAACATGAAATAAAAATCTATTTAGAATTTTTAGTTAAAAAAAAAAAAAGAAATCTAAAAATTAAGCTACAAACATAACATATACAATCAGGCAAGGTCCTTTTGTACTGAGTACGAAACCTTGTCCTGCCTCTATAAACTGAGTGTCCTCCCAATTCAGAAAATTTTCACTCCCTTTAAAAGTTCATATTCTTACGTTAATGTTTTATTACGTTATACTACTATTAGCGTGTTCTGGAGTTTGCAAACTTGAACCTTACAAAATTAACACGAAGTTGCCGCCTGTGTTTAGAATTTTGGCGAGGAGGCTAAAAATATCAGAAGACAGGGAAGTGGAATGAATCGGTGATTTATGAAGCTTGTGAGTTAGATGGAGAGGCTCTTCCCAATACACAACTGAAAGAGGTCAATTAGAAGAAAGAGCAGTCCAGTGAGAGTTCAGAAGCTCTTGAATTCCCCACTTTCTAGTGTTTTCAATGCACGGAAGAGAATGTTCCGGAGAGTCAGTGGAAGAAAAGCAAATAAAACCAAGATAGTGCAATTACAATTCTTTATTCTCAGAAGTGCTGCTGCAACTAAAAAAGTGATCTACAGGAGGAAAACAAGAAATACTCATTCGTGCAGGCAGCACCAATCTGCATCATCATCTTGCAACCAAAATTATATATATATTCCTGCTTTTTCCTCTTGGGAAAGCTTCAAAGTAGGAAAACACACGAAAGAAAAAAATGCTTAACCGGTGTTCTGCAAACCAGCAGCAATACCCTTCATGGTGAGAATGAGAGTGTCTTCCAAACCTGGGGCGTATTCACTTGTTGGATTCAGCTTTACAAGTTCATCCGCTGGCTTACTTATCTCCACGGACTCCTTCGACAGGTGGGGTCGCTGCACATTCACGCTGAAGCTCGGATCCCGAATGCGTTTCAATGTGTAAGCCTGGCAAACATTTAGGGTAGTAATGTACGAATCACGTAACCTTAGTCTTTGCTTCAAGTATGGATCTCCTTCAAGAAGATCCTTGTGCCCAGCCACCTATCAGTACGCCATAGAAAGTCAGTCAATCAGCTTGTGTTGTGAGCGTGAGTTAGACATTATCGCAAAACAAAAACCTTTTTTGAGATGAAGAACATTCATTACCTGAAGAAGGAGTTTTTTAGTCTCGTCATACTTGGCTCTCAGTTGTTCTCCGAATGGCCACAATTCTGGGGAAACAAGGAGTTTATCATAGAGAGCAGCAATGCCTGGGTCTCCCTTGGCAAACACCATTTCCACTAAGTCAAGGGTGACCCTAAAGAAAGGCCATTGAGTGTACATCTCCCGCAGCATTTGCAGGTTCCTCACATCCTTCTCTATAACATGTTTGAATGCAGCCCCGAAGCCAAGCCACACTGGAAGATGAAACCTCGTCTGTGTCCATGCAAAGATCCAAGGTATTGCACGGAGTGTTTCAATTCCTCCGCTTGGCCTTCGCTTCGCTGGCCTGCTTCCAATGTTCATCCTGCCATATTCCAACTCTGGCGTAGCCTGTATTTTATAAGGATTTTCAATATCAGCTATTTAGTTTACTGAATAGAGACTTGGTAGTATGAAATCCTATAAGATGTTCAATGGATATTTATTTGAAACAACGTGAAAGAGAAGTGGTATGAGAACTGAGTTGAAATCTTACCAGGCGGAAGTACTCAACAAATCGGGGTTCTTTGAATACGACAGATCGATATTCTTCAGTGGCAATGACAGCCATCTCATCCATTAAGGCACGCCATTCTGGCCTTGGTGAAATTGGAGGATGCATTCCATGCTCTAAAGTAGCAGCAGTGAAACGTTGAAGTGTTCTAAAACACAAGTGCTGCTCTCCGAATGATTGCTCAATAACTTCACCCTGAACAGTCACACGAAGTGATCCATGAATTGTTTCAGGTGGTTGAGACAAAATAGCAAGGTGGGTGGGCCCACCTCCTCTCCCGACAGTCCCTCCACGACCATGAAACATAGTTAGCTTAACACCATATTTTTTGGCTACATTTATCAGTTCCTCCTGAGCCTTATATAGTTGCCATGCCGCTGAGAATCTCCCAGCATCTTTCCCAGAATCTGAATAACCAATCATGACCTCTTGCTTACCGTTGATCCGATTCTTGTACCAGTCTACTGAGAACAACCGGGCTAAAGCAGCCGGAGCAGCCTCCAAATCTGCAAGCTTCTCAAACAAGGGGACAACTCTTAATGGATGCTTGACATGGCATTCCCGTTGGAGAAGCTCGACAGCAAGAACATCGGACGGTGCTGTTGCCATTGAAATGATGTATGCTCCGAAGCTGTCTGATGGAAGCTCAGCTATGACATAAAATGTGTCCAAAACATCTCTGATTTCTTCAGTTGTTGGAAGATCAGGTCCAAACAATGGCCGCTTGCCACTCAACTCAGACAAAAGCCATTCCTGTCGCTTCTCTTCAGACCATTCGTTGTAGGAGCCGATTTCCAAATGTCTGGTAATAGCATCCATGACATCGGAATGACGTTCTGATTCTTGCCTGATGTCAAGCCTCACTAATGACAGTCCAAAAGTTGAGACCTGCCTCAAGAAATCAAGAAGGCTTCCATCGGCAATCGCCCGGTCACCACAAGCACAAAGTGATCGGTAACAGAGTTCAAGAGGTTCCAGGAACTGCACAAAATTAACTCACCTTAGTAT